CAACAACAACCGCAACAGCAACAGCACCAGCACCAGCACCAGCACCAGCACCAGCAACAGCACCAGCACCAGCACCAGCAACAGCAACAGCAACAGCAACAGCAACAGCAACAACAGCAACAGCAACAACAGCACCAACAACAGCAACAACAACCACTACGACTACCACGACAACCGCGACATGCTCGCACAGCTATGCGCAGGAAGAACATGCGACGGTGAAAGCCGTATTCTGCTGCAAGCATCAGCAGGTGGCGGTAGGTTGGTCTCATCTCGCCGGTCTTCAAACGTCGGGCCTGTGAGACCACCTACCACCCCACCGATTTGGGCCGGAGTGGGCGGGTGCGAAAAACTGGCATGTTTGAGAAGCACACAAGCTGCACGTGACAAAGCATGCTCGCTATACGTCACTCAGTACACAAGTGCACACCACAACAACCACAACAACCACAACAACCACAACAACCACACCACCACCAGCACCACCACCACCAACAACAACAACCACCACTACGACTACCACGACAACTGCAACAACCACAATCACAACACCAAGACCGAGACCAAGACCCAGAACAGTTCCAGTAACGACAACAATAACATGAACACGAATAAAGACAACAACCACAACTAGAACACAAACACAAACACTGCCGCCACCACCACCGCCAGCATCACCACCACAACAGCAAGCCCAACCACACCAACTACCACAACCAAAACCACAATCAAACACACAACCACAACAACAACTAATACTACCACTACTACTACCACTACTACTACCACCACCACCACAACCACCACCACAACCACCACCACAACCACGACTACCACGACTACCACGACTACGACGACGACGACGACGACGACGACGACTAAAACTACTACTACTACTCCTTGCGCAAAAAGAAGAAAACTTCAACCATCTTCAACCTATCCCAGTTTGCGCCAGTCGTCGGAGTTGGGAAGAGCCGGCCCGTTTTCAGGCTCCGGTTCTGGTCATTCCTTTGATGCACTTCTGTGAACTGACAGAGGGTTTAGGGTTTAGGGGTTATTTAGGGTTTAGGGTTTAGGGGTTCAGGGCAGAGCTACTTCAGTGGGATTTGGATTTGTCCTTTCACCAGGAGCCTAAATGCTAAGCCTTGGCCCGCTTAGCTGTAGTGCTTCGCGAGTTGGGTCTCCGACGGTTAGTGAGTTCATGAGCTACCTATAGTCTCCATTGTAGTTCCTTTTGGGGGTTGCCTTATAGGATCCTTGATACAAAAAAAAAGGTTAAACAAAAAAAGGAGCTATAATGGAGACTATAGGTAAGATCCTTGATCTAAAAAAGGCTAAACAAAAAAAGGAGCTATAATGGAGACTATAGGTAGGGCCTTAATTAGGGCCTTTGGGATCGGCACCTGCTGCCCAGTCAGGCGATGTAGAGAAGGGCGAAAACTCGAAACCTTTACCCTAACCCTCCAGGTACCTACTATATAGGGTACTAGAGCCCCTAGGGCCCTATATAGTAGGTACCTGGAGGGTGGCTTTAACCCATAAACCCGAAAAGAAGAACGCCAGAATCCGTCCGATCCTGGCGTCTTCTCCACGATCAGCAGCTTGTCAGTGCTGGGCTTGGCGTTAGCCGCGTGCGGGTCTCCCTCATCGGGCTGGGCGCTCTTCAGAGTCGCAATCTCCTCGGGTTCGGATTGTTGGCCAACGGGGTTGGTCCTCATTAAGAAGGTTGATCTCACGCCCATCTACTGAAATTTCGCCCTCGGTTTTTGCTGTCGCATGTCACCGTTCGGTGTATGGGGTCTGTAGTTCGGGGCAGGCTGTCGAATAAGTGGCCTCCTCCGAACATGGTCCCGGCAAAGAAAAGCCCAACCGTATCTTACACACATGTGCTGATCTTGGCTGCTAATTGCTATACAACGCTCCCAACATGTCCAATTAAGGCCTATCGTGCACAAGATCTGCAACAAATCAAAACGGGCCAAGTTTCGTGATCGAGCTCGTACTTTTTCTGAAGCCTGGACGGGGGCTTGATTACGGGCTTGCGGCCGGGTTGTGGGCCCAGAGATTTCGATTTCACCGCTGCCGCTACTACTGTTAGTACTACTTGTACTACTACATAGTGTTACATGTACTGGTCATAGTAGTGGTAGCAGTAGTAGTAGTAGTAGTAGTAGTAGTAATAGTAGGACTAATACTAGTAGTGTTAGTAGTGGAAATAGTAGTAGTAGTAGTAGCAGCAGTAGTAGTAGTAGTAGTAGTAGTAGCAGCAGTAGCAGTAGAAGTAGCAGTAGCAGTAGCAGTAGCGGTAGCAGTAGTAGTAGTAGTGGTAGTAGTAGTAGCCGGTAGTAAAAGCAGTAGTAGTAGCAGTAGTAGTAGTAGTAGTAGTAGTAGTAGTACTACTAGTAGTAGCAGTAGTAGTAGTAGTAGTACTACTACTACTACTACTACTACTACTAGCAGTAGTACTAGTAGTAGTACTAGTCCTAGCAGTAGAAGTAGTAATGCTAATAGTAGTAGTGAGTAG